CTCTCGGAGCATCCTTGGAACCCCTGTCTGCTCCTTTGTGTGGAGAATCCTCTCGGAGCATCCTTGGAACCCCTGTCTGCTCCTTTGTGCGGGGAATCCTCTCGGAGCATCCTTGGAACCCCTGCCCCTCTCCTTTGTGCAGGGAATCCTCTTGGAGCATCCTTGGAACCCCTGTCTGCTCCTTTGTGCAGGGAATCCTCTTGGAGCATCCTTGGAACCCCTGCCCGCTCTCCTTTGTGTGGAGAATCCTCTCGGAGCATCCTTGGAACCCCTGTCTGCTCCTTTGTGCGGGGAATCCTCTCGAAGCATCCTTGGAACCCCTGCCCCTCTCCTTTGTGCGGGGAATCCTCTCGGAGCATCCTTGGAACCCCTGCCCCTCTCCTTTGTGCAGGGAATCCTCTCGGAGCATCCTTGGAACGCCTGTCTGCTCCTTTGTGTGGAGAATCCTCTCGGAGCATCCCTGGAACCCCTGTCTGCTCCTTTGTGTGGGGAATCCTCTCGGAGCATCCTTGGAACCCCTGCCCCTCTCCTTTGTGTGGAGAATCCTCTCGGAGCATCCTTGGAACCCCTGCCCCTCTCCTTTGTGTGGAGAATCCTCTCAGAGCATCCCTGGAATCCCTGTCTGCTCCTTTGTGCAGGGAATCCTCTCAGAGCATCCTTGGAACCCCCGTCTGCTCCTTTGTGTGGGGAATCCTCTCGGAGCAGGTTCCTGTGGCAGGCACATTCTTCTCTCACTCCAGATTTAGTCATAGAGGAGCAAAAAGAGAAGAAAGAGAAAACAATTTCTATTTCTGCTCCTTGTTTTTCCCATGTGGAATGTGTTTGGAGAATTGTTTACCTGGGGTGAGTGCTGGGTTGGATTCTGGTGAGGATTGTTTGAGCCTGGTGGCCAATCCAACCCACCTGGGGCTGGACCAGTCCAACCTACCTGGACTCTTGAGAGAGGGTCACGAGTTGTGAGTCAGTTAGATATGGTAGTTAGAAAAAGTAGGTTTGTAGTTTTAGTATCTCCTTTAAATAGTGTATTAATGTATTATAGTATAGTTATAATAAAGAAGCCATTCAGCCTTCTGCACTGAGTCAGACATCAGCATTTCTGCCCACCAGGTTCACCTGCATTTCCAGTAGGTTCCTTCAAGCCTCTGCCCGCTCCTTTGTGCGGGGCAGCCTCTCCGAGTGGATTCCTGTGGCAGGCACATTCTTCTCTCTCAGGATTTTTCACAGAGGTGCACAGAGAGAAATGAAAGAGAAAACAATTTCTATTTCTGCTCCTTGTTTTTCCCATGTGGAATGTGTTTGGAGAGTTGTTTCCCTGGGGTGATGCTGGGTTGGATTCTGGTGATTTTTGAGCCTGGTGGCCAATCCAACCCACCTGGGCCTGGGCTCTCCAGAAAGGGTCAGGAGGTTCTCCAGGGAAGCTTCCAGCCCTGGCAGTGCCCAAGGCCGGCTTGGACGGGGCTTGGAGCACCCAGGGATGGTGACAAAGTTGTCCCTGCCTGTGGCAGAGGTGGCACTGGATGGACTTTAAGGTCCTTCCCAACCCAAACCACTCTGGGATTCTGTGATTTGATGAAAAGCTGGGAATTCAAGCAGGGAGCGAAGGAAGCTTTGCCTTTGGACAGCATTTCTGCCAGGATTTGTTATTTATTTAAATCCCTCCTTCCCCTCCCCAGCCTTGTATTTGCATAATCACATTTTGCAGCTGTTGGGCCACGGTGTTTGTTGTTTTATCTGCAGAAAAAAACGGACACAAAGAGGGGGAAGAAATTCAGTCCCAGCTGAGCCTTTTGTGCCGGAGTTGCTCCTGGGCAGCCCCGGGAATTTGGGAGGGAAGGGAAAGGAAAGGAAAGGAAAGGAAAGGAAAGGAAAGGAAAGGAAAGGAAAGGAAAGGAAAGGAAAGGAAAGGAAAGGAAAGGAAAGGAAAGGAAA